CTTATCGCACGAAGAGGGAAACCAGACATCATTAACCAGAGTCAATGCAATAGGAAGTACACTGTACCACCTAGGAAGACTTCCTGCAAAACTACTGAACCTGAATCTGGTCATGTTTCTAGAGCTAAGTACCAGGTTCAAGAAATACAGGGACAGAGGGATGTATTAAATTATGCCTCAGATGCCCTAGCCAGCTTGGCTCAGTGGATAGAGTGTCGGCCTGTGGACTGAAGGGTCCCGGGTTCGATTCCAGTCAAGGGCATATGCCCGGGTTGCGGGCTTGATCCCCAGTGTGGGGCGTGCGGGAGGCAGTCGATCGGTGATTCTCTCTCATCAATGATATTTCTCTCTCTCTCTTTCCTTCTTCCTTCCTCTCTGAAATCAATAAAAATATATTTTAAAAAAATTATGCCTCAGAAATATAATCAGTAAAACCCAGAATGGGGGACATTCCAAGGGGCAAAAGACTCTGCTTCTTTAGTAATAGCAAGAAATAAAAATAAATGGCAAGAAAAGAAAATGAGGGGTGACCTATTGATTAAGAGAGACTTCAGAGACAGATCAACCAAATGCAGTCTGCGAACGACACTGTTTTAATCCAGTGTCAAAGAAATCAGTTGTTAGAGAAATATTTATGAGGTAATTAGGAAGTCTGAATGCCAGAGATTTGATGATACTAAGAAATTTCTGTTCATCTTTTACAACAGTAAAGGTATTGCAATAATGTTTTGAAAAAAGAATCCTTATCTTAGAGATAAGTATTCAAGGATTTATAGCTAGAATTATAGGTCTAGAATTTGCTTCAGTTTAATGACCTGGGGGAAGGGAGAAGAGAGGGAGCACAGATGAAGCCATATGCTGACAGCAGATGAAGCTGTGCGATGGCTACAAGGGGTTCATTTCATGTCTCTCTACTTTTATGTTTGAAATTTTCTATAATAAAACTTAAAAAAGTTAAGCAATCCAAAAGATATATCATTCAAATGCATTGTGTGACCCCACTGTAAAGAGAGAGAGAGAAAAAAATACTCAACTGTTACTGAGAGAACTGGGTAAATGTGAATACTCACTGGATACGTGATGATATTAAGAAAAAACAATTTATTTTTTAGATGTGATAATGCTATTTTGGTTTTGGTTTGTTCTTAAAAGTCTATTTTTAAGAGAAAAAACTTTCTACAAATAAAACGATGTAATGTCTTATATTCATATTTAAATATTCCAAAGCAGGATACAAGTTCAGCATTATGTAGGTAATACTTGAAGTTAGCTGTTAAGTGCATGGAGGTTCATTATACAGTTCTACTTTTATGTTTATAAAAAAACATCCTTTGTAAAAGATTTAAATAAATATGCCCGTCTTCTCTTCTGCAAAATCTACCTCATATTTTGCCTATTTTGTGTACCCTCTATCTATACATAAGTAGGGTGAATTTAAATTTCATCTTTCCCTCTAAAAAAAAAAGACCCCCTCTAAATATATAGCACGTCTCTGTTTTCTTAATTTTTAAAAACATCTTGATTTTTTAAATAAATAACAATTTGTCTACAATCTTTTTAAAGAGCCATTGCATTTTTTCCAATACTACAGGTTCCAATGACTGGAGTCTCTAAAACATTAATCTTATAATTAAGGTCTGATATTTTGGTAAAATTTAGTAAATATAAAAGGATAAGAATAACCAGAGCAAATTAATCAATGACGTTAACTTCTTTCTACTTCCGAACTTCAGGCAGGTTTGTCATCAGAGGTTTTCTCTCAGCCCAGCCCTGGTTTCCTGCAGCACCAACCCCAGTGCTGCACAACCCGCCTTACCCTTCGGCGGGTCCCCAGGTCCTCTGTCTGCCATGGTTGTGTTCTCTCTCTTCAGACCTTGGGGTTCTTTTTGTTAGTGTCTGGTTTTCCTTGTGAAGAAGTCTTGTTTTCTTCTTGTCCCAAGTCCCAAAAGACTCATGCTTCCCGCGGACCCAGGAAACAAGGCATATGTACAGTCACTAAAATAAAACTGAAAAAAAAATTTTAAATGACTCTTTAGTCATCCATGGGAGAAATGCCAACTTCAGCTTTACTTATTAAATCTGTTTAGTTTGAGTCATATCTCCTCTCTGAAACGTTTTCTAGTGAAGATAAGAATGTTTTCTGCCTTTCTCGAGGATCAAATTCCACAGTCTAGACTACAAAAAGAAAAAGCTTCAGATTCTTAACTTGGAATACTCTCCCAGTACATTCCAGTGTGGCTGAAAGGATATGAAAACGTTAAGGCCAAGTGACCAGAATCTTAAAGAGAATATCTATGAAATTGAAATGAAAAGTCATTCTAAGAGTAGAAATTTAAGTCACTGCTGAATTACTCGTTGCCGATTTCCGTTATGTCTTCAATTTCTGTCCCATATACATTTCTCAGAGTTTGCCTGTCAGAAGCTTATCCTTCACAAGGAACAATGCACAGGGGCTACCTGCAAACTGAGACTGCTGCCTCGAAGTTTGGAGGAGAGAATGTCCATCAGCAGATGAATGGATAAAGATGTGGTACATACATACTATGGAGTACTACCCAGCCATAAAAGAGGATGAGATCTTGCCATTTGTGACAACATGGATAGATCTAAGTGAAGTATGTCAGACAGAGAAAGACAAATGCCATATGATTTCGCTCATATGTGGAATCTAAAAAAAAACAACAAATAAAAGAACAAACAAAACAAAACAAAACTCATAGATACAGGGAAGATTGGTAATTCCCAGAGGGGAATGGGGTCAATTGTATGGTGAAGGATGGTAATGAGACTTTTGGTGGTGATCACTTTGTAGTATATACAGATGTCAAATTATAATGTTGTAACCTGGAACTTTTGTAATGTTATATTCCAAGTTTGACTCAATAATATATATATATATGTATATATATATATGTATATATATATATGTGAAGGAGCCTTGTAAAGTGTTTTGAGAGGCTAGTCAACTAGCCGTCTTTGTATCTTTCTCACAGCACAATTTTGTAAAATTTAATTTTACTCCCAAATGCCTACCTAGCACGGTGCCTGGTATAGAATTTTCAATCCATATTTTAATTGAAAATAATATAAATGAAGAGTGGTGCTACTTATAAACTGGGAGGGAAGGGAGGAGTTAGGGACAGGACTCCTTTCTGCTGGTGCAGATGTATGAACTGTGTTGATAAAAAAAAACAGGTCAGTGTCTCCTGGGGAAAGAAGTACTCACTGGAAAAGGGCATGGAGAGACACTTTGGGGTCCAGAAAGTACTTCAGGTCTTTATTGAGGTGGTGGTTACAATCAGTTGTCATCAAATGAAAAATCTGTACATTTTGTTGCACATAGAGTATCTTCAATAAAGGTTGTAACACAATGCTTTCAAAATGTATTACTTGGAAACAAAATGTATTACTAGGTTGCAGCCAACAAACAACCTGCAAAGGAGCCGTCACAAGTATTTCTTTCCTCTCACGCATGCTCAATATACACCTTTCTTGTCTCAAGGCACATCCATTCCGAAGCCCATTGCATTCGGACCCTTTCTAACGTATCCTCCTCGCATGTTCATAGCTGAAACGGTATTCCCTCAAGGCTGCAAGTTAGAAATGGCACAAACATGGAGTTTCCTGACACAGCCTCACAAGAAGTCACATGCTGGGGTACCTGGGAGATCTGGAGGCCACTATTCCAGAAGCAGGTCCATCTTTTGAATGTGTCCAATCCATATACTAGGAAGCGTGCGCATTAGGAACCCCTGGACTGCATCATGGAAGTGAGGCAGAGCCTCGTCCTGATGGAAATGGGGATGTTGGAGCCTTTCTGCAGCTATAGGAAAAAGTCCCCAAAAGACACCTTTAAAGGGATCTTTCCCAAAAACTAACTGAGGAAGACCCCATGGGCCTATGTGGCATAAAGACATTTACACTTAGTGAAATCCTTTCAAGTTCAATCATGAAATGTTGGTTTTCTGTGCCCCTCTGTGGAGGAGGTGATTTATTTTTCCACGTAAGTAAAAATGAGGCTCATTGCTGGCGGTTATCTCCACTCCCCTGTGACCCTGAAATCTGCAGCAAAACTTGGGTCACTTTGCTATAGCTGTTCCCAGGAAGGACTGAGACTGGTTAAAGCAGTCAGGTTTTATTCTCCATTTATGGAGAACACACCAGATGGCAGAATGAGGAATGCCTTTCCTTGATTTCGATATCCTGGGACTTCTCCAAAGAGGTACACAAATTTGCTTCACTGCTTCCTCTGCAGATGTGGCTCCTCTTTGTGCTCATCTCCTTGTACCAATGGCAATGCCGTGACAACCTGGGAGGTGTTCCCTGTCTGGTACACAGAATGACTTAAGTAACACAAGCAAGTTTAGCAGACTCCAACATACAAAGTTAAATGTTGCAAGGGTAACTCTATAAGCTGATGCATATTACAGATTTATGTATAAATTTATAAGTAATAAAAATGTGAAAGTATCCAATTCTTTGTATTCTCTGTCCATTAAGTAGATATAAAATTAAAAATTAAATGTATGAATAGAAAGGATAGACATCGACTTCCATTTAATGCTTGCTTCTGAAGAGGGAAGGACAAGAATAGGCTGAGGCCTTAACCAGTGTGGCTCAGTGGATAGAGCATTAGCCTGCGGATTCAAGGGTCCCAGGTTCGATTCTGGTCAAGGGCATGTACCTTGGTTGCAGGCACATCCCCAGTAGGGAGATGTGCAGGAGGCAGCTGATCGATGTTTCTCTCTCATCGATGTTTCTAACTCTATCCCTCTCCCTCCCTCTCTGTAAGAAATCAATAAAATATATATTTTTTAAAAAGAATAGGCTGAGAGCAAGGACGGGAGGCAACTGTATCTGTAAAGTATCTTTTAAAAGAAGGAACAGAAATAAATGTGGCAAAATGTTCATGGGATCTAGGTACATAGCTGAATGTTATTTTCTGCACTTTTCTATATGATGGATGTAATGAATAATTTTTTAATGAGTAATAAAATAAAACATTCGCTTCTGTGGGGAAAAGAATAGAAAGAAAAGACCTGTGATAGTAACTCTGAGCCCACAGAGAATGAACTTACAGTCCAGAGTCACCATTCAACCACAGTCTCCCATACATTTTGGGAGGAAACAGGACAAGGAAAAGCTGCTGGGAAACAGTAGGACCTCACCCAACCGCCACTCCATTCTGAAAACTTCTAGTTTGGCCCTGGGAACCAGACAGGAGTTGGGAGGGGTTAGAGACCGGGAGGAGATGTGCAGAAGAGGGAAGAGGCAGGTATCAGGAAGCACAGGTGTCTGCAACACCAAGAGCTGAATATTTTTTTTAAAAAGGAGAGGGAAATTAGAAGTTTAGCAGCTGAGAAGGATGTAAGAGAATCCTTCAATCCAGGATAGTTTCAACATAAATGCCATCATATCAAAGGTATGACAGGGCCCAATAAGTGTATATCTATTATTCTATTTTTATATGCTCCTTTTAATGAAGGATGCCATTTATGCTCTAGACGTAAAAAGTAGCAGATAACGTGGTCCTCAAACAATTTACAGTCCTGCTATGGAGACAAATAGCAAAACATACACAACGACAATAATAGCTAACATTTATTGAGCATGTTCTTTGGGCCAGGCAGCTTTCAAAGCACTTTATGTATTAACTTATTTAATCTTCACAACAATCTTATGATGTATGGACCATGATTATTCCTTCTCTTTTCCAGATAAAGTGGATACAGAAGTTAAATCGCCCAAGGTCATTCAATAGACAGAATTCGAAGACAAGCCCAGATCAGCTGGCTGCAAGGCCATCATGTTTCCTCTATAAACTGTTATCAAGTTGTGTTCTCGAGATCCCATGGCAACTCAGGGCTGCTGGAGGGACCTGAAGAGCTGGAAGGGTATGACTCACTTCACTTTTACAGGAATCTATAACATGCTGACAGCCACATTCTCTTTGAATGCCATAGAGTTCTTTTTTTGCCTGGGCTTGCCTGGGGGTTCCTTCTCCTATGGCTTAGAGATAAATCTTAACAGTCATCCACAACCCAGGACAGCTTTCTTTTGATGACACATTTTCTCCCCCGTCTGCCCAGGCATGTTTCCATTAACCTTCCACTCCCAGGTCTGCCATAAAATAACAGGTAATTATAAAAGTCATTTTTAAAGTGGCCACCATTATGTGTACGTAGTATTATCAACCCGTTCACAGTATGGAAGTAGAGATGGATATGGCTCACATAATCCAAAACAGTGGATAACTCTCCACATCATTTGTCATGAAAATGAATTTTAGGAACATACTTATATTTTGAAATGCATTATTCATAACTCTGAAATGGAGTCCTCTAGAATGATCTATAGTATTTTAAACCAAGCGTAGTCATACTGAAAGGACCTAAGCTGAAGAGCTACAAAGCTTTCTAAATTTTCTCCCTTGCTCAGTGTTATGAACTCTGCCACACAATGTTATTTCTGAGCGAACCATATAACTGGTATGTGATAATCATGTCTGAAGGCAAAGTATCCTACTTAAGGTAAATTAAAATTCGTATTTTTTATTCCTTCCTTTTGCCCATATACTCACATGGCTTATAATGAAACCATACAGAACTGTTTGTGAGGAGGGCTACAATGGTGCAATCATTTTAATTTGTGAGAAATGTGTGACTGAGTTGTAACCTGAAATATGAACTGACCTTCAGTCTGATGGGAAATCTCTCTATGTCACCAGCAAAGTACAATTACCTATCACTACCTTGTCGCACTATGAGCACTCCGTTCCCATCTTTTTAAGCCAGATGACTGGACACCCTGGATATGCTGCTATTGTATGTGTCCAGGTATGACCCACAGAGCACCTATCTACACAAGGCTCCTAAGGCACGACTTATAGAATGCAGATTCCTGGGCCCTGTGAGCAACCTAAGGAATCAAGATTTCTGTAAGATCAAGAAATTCGCAATTTTTGACAAGTTCATCCAGATACTGATTTGAAAATCAATGGCATAAATCTGTTTAATTTGTCTTTACTACTAAAAGGAGAGATTGGTTAAAACAAAAGTCCTCGTTTCTATTTTGCTGATAATTAGAATTGCACATATGTAGGGTTTCTGAAAAAATGTAGAGCAATAATATTGATCCCAACACCATCCTCAAAAGCAATACCTCAAAGTAAATGTTCACTTTCTGGAGTGAGCTTTAGGATAGCGAAGGAGTTCTTAATCAAGGCATAATGATAAACTACTAATCTTCACTCAGTTTAGCAGTCCACACAGTTTATTCAGCAATATAACAGGAGAGAACTTCCACCAAGATAGACATGAGGCAGATACAGGAGAGGTCTCTGGGGTACATTCTTTATACAGACGAACAAACAGCTCAGGTTTCACAACATGTGGCAGGCATGAGTTCCTGCATGAAAACAGCCATTCATTCCCCACTGCTTCCTTCCTCAAAGAGCCCTCATTTTATTAAGGGAGACAAGATGCCCTGCCCAGGCACTGCCAACCCCATTCTCCTTGGCCTGGCTTTCCAGGCGCCTGTTTGAACCAGTACCTTCTAATGAGATGTAAGGAGAAATTGGTGAGGGACTATTGGGAAAGATTTTCCTTTCCAAGTAAGTCAGAGTCTTCAAAGGACAAAGCTTTTGCTCCCTGCTTCCAAATGGGACTGAAATGCCTAGAGCAGCAACAAGCCACACTGTAATCACTGAGGACACTAAGAGGACAAAAGCTAATGCGTAAGGATCCCAGAGGGGAAAAACAGAAAGGACCTGGGACCGTGAGAACACTGTTGAGTTGCTACACAAGCAATGGATTATCTAGCATCTTAAGTGGAATTTTAAACTTATCCCATGGCCTCTGAGATGTTCCAACAGGTTTTTCTAAATTTCTCATGAACAAGTGAAGGCCAGAATGTGGCTAACACCCAGCAAGACCGTCTTGGTTTGAAGATGCTTCCCTTAGACTGCTCCTACTATTATGGAGTCAAGCTGGATCCCTCTTTTTGTAGACTATCTCATACACAGGCACTTTTCCATGTCCTGGCAGGACATTCTAAGTTCAGTCACCACAAAGACAGGGCAGTCTTTGTTCATGTAGAGCCAAGTAAGTATAGACAGTGGCATTTCTGCATGTTTTTGTGTAACCTATGTAGGTGTTACCCAATAGGATGTGGTTTCTCTGGCAGTGACCAGTTATCTATAATATCAAAGCCACACTAAGGCCAAATAGAGCCAATTATGAATAAATGATTATATATGAATAAATTATATATATAATCAGAAGGGGTGGAATTTAGAACAATGTAATTTCTTATTAAAATGTCTAGTTCTTTTACTGAAATAATCTAGAACAGCAGTTGCCAACCTTTCGGCCCTTACGACCGCTGATCTAGAAGCCAGCTACGCTTTCCCACAGAAGTTATCACTAGAAATATCATCATGGTATACACAGTATGGGGCTCCTCCAGGACTACCTTGTCCTCTGTCAGTAGTTAGGCTGCGGAGCTTTTCAGGAGGGTAAGCTAATTCCAAAGCACAGGGAACACGAAATGCTCTGGCTCCAGATGAACAGCCGGCTGGAATATTGACTAAATTCATGCCGAACAGACTAGGTGTAGACCATGGGAGCAGACCCAGCAAGTTCAGCCGTTCCCCGAAGTAGTGACAGTCTGAATTAGATATAAAAGGCGTCATTTTTCCATCTTCCTTGAGTTACTAGCACAAAACCCTCTAGAATCTCCATGATTGTGACTCTTTAAGAAGTTATTTGCTTTGGCCAAGTTTTTTGTTCAAGGTTGTGTCTGTTCTAGCCAAGATTAACTGTAATGCTGGGTTAAAACCAGCTAGTCTAGAGTCATGTATCCTTTTTCTAACCAGCGGAGGACCCAGAAGAAATGGGTGGCAAGCTTTTTCAAAGGTCCACCTGGTAAGGTTTTGGGGAGCCCATTCAAGTGGGAAAGACCAAGGAAGGACAAGGCTTCTGTTAGCAGGATTATCAGGATAACACTCAGGGCAATAATCAGCCCTGTTGATACGGTCTAAGAATACTTGGTAACATTCATTTTCAATAAGTTCAGTTTGGTACAACCAGTGGCCTAGTTCTAAACTAGGAAACCACTGTTGCCCACAGTCGGGGCAATGTGAATTATCTGAGAACATCTGGTCCTCCAGCGGTAACACAGAAAGCAATGTAACAGTAAGAGACAACAATGACAAAGGGCGATACCCAAATAGCCAGTCCTATCACAGGTTTGGTTTAGCAATTTCTCAGTCCAACCAATACTACTTAGAGAGTTAAATCTGGCTTGCACTTACGTGCAATTCTTCAAGATTTCGTTGTCTATTTTTTCACTCAATTACAACTCAGTCTCTCAACTCAGCGAACAATCCAGTCTATAATGTTCTCAGTCACTTGCTAGGAGCACAGATCACAGAATAGCCCCTTCAAATTCCAGTTTCTCAAGAAAAGCTAGAACTCTGGTCTAAATTAGTTATTTTTTTCTTGTGTGTTAATCAGCTGATGGTCTCATGCAGAGGCATTTGGCTTACTCTGCTTTGCTGGTTAGCTACTGTGTCTGCTTGGTCAGAGAGAGGAGCTGACAGATCCAATGGGTCTTTGTGGGCGCTGGCACTCTTGCCGTTGTGATACACGTACCCAAGTCTTAAGGTCTTGGCACTTTACAGCAATGTAGGGGGGTCAGGAAAACCTGGAAGAGTCCTCTTGAGCGTGGATCCAATGAAGTCTTTCTTGGGAGGACCTTAATCAGGACCCGTCAGAGAAGTAGCTGATGCTGAGTTGGTTGGAGGGTCTGGGAATGCTTCACATACCTGTAAATGATAACACTTCAGACGACTCATAATGGGTTTTCAGTTGCTCACAATATTATTAGGAACATGCATTGGGAAATCATTTGAGTCAATCAAGATGGGTGAGAATTGTCTCACAGGTTTCCCCATACAATTTCATCTAGGCTCAAACTAATTTATCTGTTGGAAGTTATTCCTATACTTATTTTGGCACTAAGGAAGGGTTTTGGTTCATTTAAGATTTGTAATAGCTTCATTTTTTAAAGACTATGTTTCATTTTTTTTTACTCCTTTTACATTTTGGGAATAATACGGTCTGCATAATCACATTTAACCTGGTAGAACTTTGAGATTTCTTGTATATCACTTTTGTGAAATAAATGTCATATATGGTATTCCCAATAATGTGTGGGAGAACATTAAGGATGACAGTCTTTCTATAGTAGACTTCAATCCATTCAAGAAAAAGCTTACAAAATTATTAAATAATATTCTTAATAGAGAACAATAGGAAGTTGGATGAAATCCTTTTAAAGGCTGGGAAAGAAACCAAAAGAGGCAATGCCCACATCTATTTTTATAGGTGTGTGCACAGTGTAAGTTTAAGAAGGCAAGTAAGGCCTAGTTCTGAGCAATGGTCCTGGGCTACTCTTAGAAAACATATAGTAATTCAGTTGGATTTACAGATACTACCATGATCTCTGTAATCCTCCATAGCATGAATAGAACAAGTAGATGAGGTAGGGTAGCAGGATGTATTGGACAACCAGAGAACCACCTAGGGTGCCACAGGCCATCAGAGGACAATGTATACCCCAACTTTCTACGGTGTTATTTGTGAATTTTGAGGCTGGATGCTTGAGGGCACTAAGGCAAGTTTAATGCCATAGGGGGCCAATATTTTGATAGAAGCCCCGGATGAGGTGCAGAAAACATCAGTATAGATATATTGATGTGCTTTTTGAGGTTAGGTAATAATGTACAGTTGAGAACAGAGTGAACAGATGGTAAGATTTCTAACTCAACCTTTATGGTAACAACAGGGCAGAGTGGATTTTCCTGGGGGTCTACTGACAAGAGCCACCAAAGTCAAAGTTTCAGTTGTGGTTCTGGGAAATCTTGGGTGTCTAGTACATGGAACATGTTCTTGATGATGAACACATATGATTATGGAGTTTAGCTTAGGAGTTAGCAGTAAAGTTATATGACCGACATAGAAAAGATACAGAATTTTGGATTTTTAGAGTGAAAAGGGAAAGTGCAATTAACACCACAAGATACTTTTTCACACCCACCAGACTGGCAATAATTAGCAAGTTTGACAATGGGAACTCTGTAGACGCTAGACCAGTGGTTCTCAACCTTCCTAATACTGCGACGCTTTCATGCAGTTCCTCATGTTGTGGTGACCCCCAATTTCATTGTTACAAATTGAACATAATTAAAGCATAGTGATTAATCACAAAAACAACATGTGATTATATATGTGTTTTCTGATGGTCTTAGGCGACCCCTGTGAAAGGGGCATTCGACCCCCAAAAGGGTCGCGACCCATAGGTTGAGAACCGCTGCTCTAGACAAAACCATCCCTCCCCAAGGACATCTCCATTGGCCGGGTCGAGAGGAAGCCCTAATGCTCCAAAAGCTCAGAGTAAATCCACCCTCACCCCAACCTTCATTTCTCCAACTTCAACTGTAAAGTAAGCACTAGAGTTCCAAGTATTCCTGAATCAAGAGAACACTAGTGTTCCAAATGCCCCTCTCCTTGTCCCTTACACCACTATGGGCAAGAGTCAAAGTGGGCCCCAAGCACTAAGTGCTCAGAATAAGATCACCTAATACCAGCCTCCTCTCTCATTCCTCAGCCTTATCACTGCTGGAAGAGTGAAGAGGGCCTCCAAAAATGTTCCCAGCAAGATTCTCAAACTCTACTCCCAACCTCAAACTCACAGCTTCACTACCATCATCTGCCTGAAAGCATCAGGACCAACCAATCTCACCATACCTGTATCTTTTTATGCCATCACCACATGAAGCCCAGAGCTTCCTGGTTGCAGTTCATCCCCTTAGTCTCTGACCCCCGTGACTCTAAGAGCAGTGAGATAGCATTCCCTCGCCTTGCTTTATTAATTTTTTTCCCATTAACATGTACCATTTTTATATATTAAATATTTTAGTTATTAGCCCCTACTAAAATACAGACTAGGACTTTTTGTCTTTTTGTTTACTGCTGTACATGCCCAATAAACATTTCTTGAATGAATAAATAGCAACTTGAATTTTATACCCTGACCAAAGGAGTATAAATTAATTCAACTACTTTCAGAATTAAGTTGGCATTATTTAGTAAAGACGAAGATTTGCATTCCCTCTAATTCAGTAATTCCACTCTTAGCTTTTATAACCTAGAGAAATTTCACATGTGCATTTAAAAAAATTAATAAAAATATTTATTCATGGTAGTATTGTATATAGTAGCAAAATAACAGCCAAAATGTCCATGAACAGTAGAATGGATAAATAAATTGAAGTACTGCCATACAATGAAATACTATTCGTAGATGAAAACTCAAGAATATAGTATTGAGCTGAAAAGTAAAAAGCAAGTAGCAGAATACACACACACACACACAGTTTCCATTTACATAAAGTTTCAATATATTGTTTAGGAATAAATATGCAATAAAGTTAAAAAGAAAAAGATAAGCACAAGGATAATTATTACCTTTAATGGGAGAGGGAGGGAATGCAATCATAGGGTTTATTTCCCTCCACTGAATCATAAATCCTAATAGGTTACATAATCTCTATTCAATCTTTTATCATTAAAAAAAAAAAGGATAGAGTGGAAATAGCAATGGACTAAAAACGATTAATAGACACAACCAAACTATCACATTGTGGACAAGAAGAGCAGCAGCAGTTACGCTGCTTAGAGGAAAAGTGGGTGAAAAGAGGAGTCCCACAGAAGGATCTGGATCTTTGTTTTTCTCGTAAAATTGTAAGCAACTATCTTACAAATAGGGTAAACAGGCTTACCCTAATGTTAGTATGGTAAGGCAAGTTTATCTTGGCATACTCCATAAAGACATGCATGTTTGCAGGGAGGATATTATCTCATAGGGTGTCTTTGTGCAAGTTAGAAAAAGGCACCCTCAACCCGGGCAAAAAGCAGTCCAGAGAACCTCACTTTGCCAGGTATTCAACAGTAATCCTGTCTGTGTACTTAGTAACTATTGTTAGTAACAATAGTTAACACTTATTGAGTACCACTATCTGTTCTAAGCACTTTACACGTATTAACTCATGTAACTCTTACAATAATTCATTTGAAGAAACAGAAAGGTTGAGCCACTTGTCCAAGGTTACATGAGTCATAGAATTAATTGGTATTTGAATCCAGGCGGACTGGTTCCAGAGCCTGTACTCTTAGCCACTAGGAAATATCACCTTTCTGAAGCAGTGACAGTTGAGCTTAGAACACCTTCTTCATAAACTATGTGCAAATTTAAAAGGATCCTCTTCAGTGGTGTGTGTATATTGATTGAGGTGGACGTGGGGAAAATTCTCTCATAATTTTTCTCTTCCACACAAAAAGGTCGAGGATAGGTTTCAGGGAATCCTGAACCCCCTGGAATTACATATAAATTTCTTTATGTATACATACGCATTTTTTCAGGAAAGAGAGTACAGGGGGGCCTTGACTTACGAGTGTCCCAACTAACGAGTTTTTCGAGATACGAGCCGTCTCTCGGCCGATGTTTTGCTTTGAGTTGCGAGCTAAAATTTGGGTTACGAGCCAGCTTCAGATACCCCACCGCTAGTTGAGATATGAGATTTGACATACGAGTAATTTGAGTTACGAGCTCCGTCACGGAACGAATTAAACTCGTAAGTCAAGGCCCCACTGTACTTTTAGACTCCCAAAGGAATCTGAAACAGTTCAGAACGATTCGGTGTTGCTTCCCTCCCTCAACTCTATTAGCTTAAGTCAAAAGCAGTTGATTGAGGTTAATATATGATTACTGTCAGGCTTGTAGAAATGCTGAAAATACCTAGAGAACCAACATTACTCTACTGATTACTAAATATAATTGTTTAAATTAAGGAAACCACCATGTAGTAGGCCCAATGTCAAGTTCTATGGATATCGAGAGAAAAATCTTACAGGACTTTTAGATGAGCATGAAATCTAGACTGGAAGCAAATTTTAGGTAAAGGCTAAGGGCTTTATATGGATATCAAAAGATCGCCTGTAGAGATCCTATGAAATTCAGGAAGGCCCACAAAAGAAGCTGAATGCCTTTATTTTCAAACAAACCTAACCAACAACAGTGGGCAAAAAACAAACTTTAAAGAGCTTTTCTGCCGCACATATACTACATAAAAGAAAAACACAGATCAGGTTTGTTTGTTGTTGTTGTTGTTGTGACAACTAAAATAAATTTAAGAGTCTTCCTGATACTTTGTTAGATCAGAAAATAGCTCTTTAATGTGCTAGAAAATAGAAAATTCAGATTTATTTAAACCACTGAAATTCACATACACTAATGATGGCAGCTTAATACATATTAAATAATTATCTTCTCTAAAAATTCTGACTAT